TTTTTTTTTTTTTTTTCATGCTCAGCATCATTGAGTTTAGGGCATGCTGTCGTTTATGTTATTAACTATGGATTATTCGTTGACAAAGTTTACGGCGGATGTATATGTACTTAAATCGTACGCGTGGTTTTAGTATACCTATTATTTTGTTTTTTTGATCTTTTCACGTCGTCCGTCGCTATTTTATCGAGATCATTTGAATGAAAAAGATAATTTGGTAGGTTTATGAAGTTCAAGTGTATGTTTAAGAATGCCTCTAGAAACTATCGCTAATACTATGAAATTCTTCGACTTTGTTGCTCTACGTGTTTTCTCTTCAAAGCCTCTCGCATTTAATGTTTTCTCTTAGAAGGAAAAACGCAACAATCGTTTATGTTTTTCGGCATGTGCATGTTAGAAGCATACTTCTTATTTGGCATTACATGCTCATTTGTCATATGTGTACCGTACCCTCCACCCATTTTATAATAACAAATGTATGACTTTCTTTACTCGTTACGCAGGTCTTATCCTAACAATGGCATCAATATCGAGCGGAAGCTTCTTAGAACCGGCTCTCGACAACATGACTCGAGACGGGTCCACTTCCCCATACCCCAACCGAATAATCGTAGTTGCAAATATGCTACCTCTGCACGCTCAAAAGGTCTCTGAGTCGAGCGAGTGGCACTTTACCCTCGACGAGGATTCTCTACTCCTTCAGATGAAAGACGGTTTTCATCCCGAAACCGAGGTCCTATATGTCGGGTCCCTAAAGGCCGAGGTCTCGCCAGACGAGCAAGACATTGTAGCTCAAACGTTACTCGACGAGTTCAAATGTGTCCCCACTTTTCTCCCGCCCGAAATCCATGAAAAGTACTATCACGGGTTTTGCAAGCAATATTTGTGGCCTCTATTCCATTACATGCTCCCGATGTGCCTTGACCATGGCGATCGGTTTGACCGCCAGCTGTGGCAAGCTTACGTGTCGGCTAACAAGATTTTCGCTGACAAGATAACCGAGGTCCTCAACCTGGACGAGGATTTCGTTTGGGTTCACGACTATCATCTCATGGTCCTCCCGACTTTCTTGCGTAAAAGGTACAATCGAGTTCGGGTCGGTTTTTTCCTCCACAGTCCTTTCCCCTCGTCCGAGATCTACCGAACCCTTCCTGTCCGGGACGAGATTCTAAAAGGACTCCTCAACTCTGACTTGATCGGTTTCCACACGTTCGACTATGCTCGTCACTTCCTTTCATCGTGCGGCCGCATGCTCGGCCTCGACTACAAGTCCAAGCGGGGCCACATTGGGCTCGACTACTTTGGCCGCACGGTTTACGTGAAAATCCTCCCGGTCGGGATCCACATGGGCCGGATGGAGGCCGTCCTCAACCTTCCCTCCACACTCGAGAAAATGGAGGAGATACGAAAACGGTTCGAGGGAAAAACGGTCATTCTCGGCGTCGACGACATGGATATCTTCAAAGGGATAAGTCTCAAAATGCTCGCGTTCGAGCGGCTCCTCCGCGAGAACCCCGTTTTCCAAGGGAAGGTCGTTCTGGTCCAGATCGTAAATCCCGCACGGAGCTCCGGGAAGGACGTCCGTGAAGCACAACACGAGACCTACGCTACCGTAAAAAAAATAAACGAGACTTTCGGAATAAGCCCCGCGGGTTATGAGCCGGTCGTCCTTCTCGAACGATATTCCCCGAGTTACGAGAAAACCGCGTATTACTCCCTAGCCGCGTGTTGCATAGTGAACGCGGTTCGAGACGGGATGAACCTCGTCCCCTACAAATACATCGCATCCCGACAGGGCTCGTCGGTTTTCGAGAACTCCGGCCAGCCGCCGACAAGTGTGCTCGTGGTCTCCGAGTTCATCGGTTGCTCCCCGTCGTTGAGCGGGGCGATTCGGGTCAACCCGTGGGACATCGAGTCCGTGGCCGAGGCCCTTTGCTCGGCGCTCGTGATGAACGAGGCGGAGAAGCGGATAAGACACGAGAAGCACTTCCGTTTCGTGAGCTCGCACGACGTGGCGTATTGGGCCCGGAGCTTCATGTGGGACATGGAAAGGGTGTGTCGGGAGCAGCAAGGGAAACAATGCTGGGGAATCGGGTTCGGGCTGAGGTTTCGGGTCGTGTCACTTTCACCGGGCTTCGGGAAGCTGAGCGCGGGCAGGGCCGGGCTCGTGTATGAGAAAGCGCGCCGGAGGGTGATATTCTTGGACTATGATGGGACAGTCGTGTCTCAGTCGTCGATGGTTAGGTCTCCGGATCCCGAGGCGGTACACGTGCTCGTCGATCTGTGTAGCGACCCGAGAAATGCGGTGTTTATCGTTAGCGGGAGGGGACGGGACTCGCTTAGCGAGTGGCTTGCGCCGTGTGGCGAGCTGGGATTGGCTGCCGAGCATGGGTATTTCATAAGGTATTCAATTTTTTTTTTGTTTTGTTTTTTTTTTTTTTTGGAGAGAGTGAGTGAAGAGGGGTTTTTTGATGCTTTATTCAGGTGGAACAAAAGCTCTGAGTGGGAATCGTTGGATTCGAATCTTGACTGGAAGGAAATCGTGGAACCAATCATGGAACAGTATACAGAAGCGACCGATGGCTCGTCGATCGAGGTTAAGGATAGTGCATTGGTGTGGCACCATCAGGATTCGGATCCAGATTTTGGGTCGTGCCAGGCGAATGAGCTTTTGCTTCATTTGGAAAGCGTGCTGGTGAACGAGCCTGCGTTCGTTTGGAGGGGTCAACACATCGTAGAAGTCAAACCACAGGTATATATATATAGATAGATATATCTTCTTAAAAAACATTTCACAATAACCCCATAAAAATTTGATCTTGATCCTCTGCTTCTTTTGTTCTTTTGAAGAAAATTGCTCCCTTTTTTTTGTAAGCTTTTGAATGTTTCATATTTCAATCAAGATACTTTGGTTGATAATACTTGAATCTAGAGTGCTATACTGTGTTTAGACGAATATGCTGCCCTTTGAGAACCAAGTCCTTTGGGTTTTGGTATTTTTCTCACAATAACCCCATAATTTCACAAAATTAACCATTTTGAAACCGATTAATAGGGAGTGACGAAAGGCTTGGTGGCCGAAAAGGTGCTGCGCAAGATGGTCGAAAATGGCGGACACCCCGACTTCATTTTGTGCATTGGAGACGATCATTCGGATGAGGATATGTTTGAAAGCATACTGAAAACCGTGTCCGGGTCGAACCTACCCAACCCGCCCGAGATCTTTACCTGCACGGTTGGACAAAAACCGAGCAAGGCCAAGTACTATCTTGATGACACAGCCGATGTTCTCCAGCTGCTCCGGGTTTTAGCCGACTCGGACGACCCGAAATCATCCTCTCAGCTGGCTGATTTTCAGGTTGGCTTTGAAGAAGGTGTATTGTGAAATAAAAATATATATGCATATAATTATGCTTAAGCTGGGAGGATTGTTTTGTTTTGCTGACTAAAGGTGACTAATTGAAGAAAAATATATATTTTAGTGTTAGAGAAGAAGAGTATGAAAAAGAACATATCTTGGGGGTGGAAAAAGGGTGTTTGTTTCTTTACAGATGCTGATAATGGCTGGCCTGGTTGGTTTATGTATCATGTGAGTCATTGGTTTGTATAGGTAACAACAAATTTCTCATTTGGATGATGTACTGTTTGTTTGATAGATTATGGGATTGTAATAAAATTTGAAGTGTTTGCTCTACTTTCTTGTTATTCATTGACCAACCAGTTATTTTATGGAGCTGACAATGTTGTTCCTCCCCCTGGCTAGCCCAATTTTGCAACAGGCTAGAGATGTGTTTTCTAGGCCCAAAAGAAGTTCGGTTTTTGGCCTGGCCCATAAGCCCAATTTGGTTTAATATTCTTTTTTTCTTTTTTTTTTT